TCGACCTGACACTCGGCCTGTACATCTTCCATTTGACTGGCCACTTCTGGTGGAGGGGTGATGACTTCTTCAGCACGCATGATGACCGAACGGGCTGATGTCGAGCAGGGCCGGCGGTTATGCTATCCGGTTGAGCAAACCTGCCAGCGTGCCACTTTTTTCACGCATGTTGCATGAAGTCGAACGAGCGAGAAGTGCGACCAAGCCAACAAAAAAACCCAAGGAAACCTATGGTTTGCACCTTCACTTCTTGGGCAAAGAGCAGAAACCTGTTCTGCCGACACATTGAGCATATGGAGTCTCGGCACGTGGTCTTCTTCTCGATCTTTGCCCCCTTTCGCCTGGTCCAGTTCCTCTGAAATCCTCCAGCTGGTGCTGTCACCAGTACTGGGCTATGTGAGGCTATGTGCATCATCTCCTGGGTGCCCATCCGTTAGCGTTCTTGTTCCTAGTAGTAAGGCCAAGAGCCCCTAGTAGCGTCCTTGCTCCTAGTAGCGATGCCAGGAGCCCCTAGTAGCGTTCTTTTATGAGTTGTGTCACCCTTTGTCAGCCTTCCACACCTTCACAGTCCAAATTCCTTTTGAGGGCCGCTCTGCCCTCCAACCTAAGAGCAACGGCCTGGAACACTGGAACCATTCACGCCCAGTGCACAGCAAGCACACTGTTCCCAATGCGTACACCTTTGGAATCCCTGAGACATGCAATTGCCAAACCAGGCCACACCACCACAAAGCCTATCCAAACAAAAAGCGCCAGCAACACTTCCAGAAGCATAACCAATGGAGATCTCGCTAAGCCTCCCAAACATATGCAACACTCGCACATTTCCCTCCAAGAAGCAAGTCTCGTTTCAGCAGTGCGACATGCAACTGCGGCATCTAAGGAGTTACACCCATGAGGCAGGGCCACACTTTGGTGCAAGTTTTACGTTTTGCACATGTGCTTCATCTACGAATCTACGCAACAATCCTGGCACTTTGTACTCAGGTTGTGACATTGTGGTATAGAGCTCCAGATGTGCTTATGGGTTCCCGCAAGTCATGCGCTTATGGCACACAGGCTTTGTGTGTGTTTAAGTTTAATCTTGAAACATAGAAAACTTGGACATGAATCTCTGCTTTTCGGATAGAGCATTGAGGTACTCCACTCCGGTAGATATTTGGTCAGTTGGCTGTATTTTTGCAGGTGTGCAACTGTGTTTTTGTTGCTTCAGTTTTGAGACTCAATGACTTTGTTAACGTCTGCCTTTTTGCTTAGCTTAGCTTTGTTGCTTAGCTTGCTTGCTTGGCTTTGTTTTTTTTCGTTCAGAAATGGTGAACGGCCGGCCGCTGTTCCCGGGCGATACGGACGCCAATCAGCTGCAGAAGATCTTCAAGGCGCCGCTCGAAGTCTTCTCCGAATGACTCAAGGAATTGAACCCTCCGCAGGCTTAGCTTAGAATCCGGTCCCAATCCTCGTAGTTAGCACATGTTCTTAGCTACTTAGCCTACCCCGCAAAGCTGAAGCCTTCTGATTCTTAGCGAGGTCCAGTTACTCAGGTCGAAGACAAAGACTTGTTCAAAGTAGGGTTGTAGGCAGTCTTTGTTTCATTTCGTCTACGTGTTCATTTCGTTCCACAGGTTTCTTTGAGGCTTTGTCAGGACTTTTCCCAGAAAGCCAAAGCACCTAGTAGGTAGCAGCTACTGTAAACATGCAGCAAACTGTTCTTTCTTTGACCTGAATCTCGAAGCTGCCAAACCAGTAAAGTCACCCTGAGCTTGAAAGCTGACTGGGAGAGACTGGGAAAGACTCCAACTAAACTCGAAAACTGAGAGTCTTCGAAACATCGAGGAATCCGAGATCGGGGATCCACGGGGATCGAAGAAATTAGAGACGAAAGGCGTTGAGGACATGGATGGCACAGAGAGTAAAGACGGTAACATTTAGCACTTGGAATCTAAGCAGTCACGACGGAAGTGGATGAGATCAGGAGGGATGATAAGCAATCAGGAGTTGTTGCCATGTCAGTCAGCCCTTGTCTCGCGCAGATCTTGGGGACACCATCTGCAGATGTGTGGCCAACAATCACTGAATTGCCAGACTGGAAACCTGATTTCCAAGTGTACTCCTGGCCTGGTTTCAGGCACTATAAGCAGATCTGAGAATTCTGTGACGTTCGGCTTTGGAAGGTTTGAGCCCCAGTCATGGACGACAATTACACCAACTTTGGACGCCGCAAACTCAGGGTTTGTTCGGTCTTTGCAGCGGTGCTTCCAAAAACAAAGGTCAGCTTTGTTTCTAGTAGCGTGGCACTTGTTACTAATAGCTCTTGTTACTACTAGTAAGGCACTTGTTATTACTAGAGTGGCACTTGTTACTAATAGCTTAGAAAATATGCAGCCCACGAACCCGATGGAACCCGAATGTACAATTTGGATCTCTCAAACACTCCTTGACGGCTCTTCTAGGACACTCTTGTGCGATGCTGTGGGACACTCTTGTGTGACATTCTTTCAAGACGCTTCGTTTCGATACTCTTGCGGTGACACGCTTTTGCGCGACACTCTTCGGTGTTTGACACCCAAAGGAGAGCCCATCTGCACTAAACGCCCACTTCGCTACAGCTAGACGCATCTCTTTCTGGAAAACCACTCGCCAAGTCTCCAAAAAGAGCGTTTTCTGTCGAGACTTCCAAATGGCATGCATCAAGCCTCCAAAACGAGCATTTTCCGTGACATTGTTCAGTCTTCGAAAGAGGCATGTGGTACGAAACTTGCTCCAGAAGGTATGTGTCAAGCTTCCAAAAGGAGCAATTCGCACTTTCCTCATGTGAAGTTCCAAGTGCCCTGAGTGACCCGCTGGCCAAACATTCACCAGATGTCGCGACCTCACGACTGCGAAAAGCGATTCGGCGATGCCAAATTTATTTCACTAAAACCTGTCACGAAAACAAAGCGAGGCAAACCGTTCAAGAGTAAATCCCAATGGCACAACCTGTCCAAAAGACGCTCAAACCGCAAACCGCAGTAGTCACATCAAAGGACGACCTCACAAAATGCAGCTCCCTCCGCCTGAGGGCGGGGGGAGCTTCCTTGAAGAAGCGCTCGCACTAATGATTTGCTTCCTAGACTTTGGGGGAAACTGAGCAGATCGATGGGGTGTATCATTCTACCAGCCAAAGGACCCGAGGCTTCGGACAAGTCCCAGCACTTTCTCAGCTTCCTGATCCTTTAGCAATCTTTTTCTGCATGACGTTTAGACATGTTTGCCAATCGTTCTTTACAACAAACTAAAACAGTTTTTCTTTTGAACGTGTCCTTTTGTGATTCTACCTCCTTTGGAGATGAATGTGTCTTCCAAGGCCGAGGGCACAGACCTCATGTCGGTGTGCCCGAACACTTTGAAGTCGGGTACTGTCGGGTACCGTCGGGTAGTAGCCAGTGCAAGCCCGTGAAGCGAACGCTCACAGACCGCAAAACGGGATTAATTTGAGTTAGCGTAGTAAAGGGATGTAACGGGCAGCACTCTCACCATGCTGCACCCTGTGCCAGAAGTTCCTGCAGTACTGGCCGGACAGACGAATATCTGGCAAAGCAGCGCAAGACCATGAATACTTCAGGCTGGCACAAGATGGCACAAGTAACAAAGTAAGAAAAGATGTCAGAAGTAGCAAGAGCACTAAGTCCTTCCATACAAATAACTACTGTTAGGAAAGAGTCTTATGAAGCCATGGGGCTTAGCGAGTGGTTTCCATCAAGACGCTGAGTGCCAGGGGGCTTAGCGAAGCCATCAAGAACATGAAATGAGGACGGCAGAAACGAACACGAGAAACAACGAGCTCGGATAAGAAATCAGTGAACTTAAAGGTTAAGTGTCGCTCTTTGTTTTTTTTTCTGCAAGGAAAAGCTCTCAAAGTCAACACAATGGTGGCCGAAACCAGATTCAATTGTGTCGCACAGCACAGCGCAGACTGAAGATGTAGAGGTGCAGCCTATGGTACTTATCGCCCAAAGAGGCAACCTGTGATGGACGGAAGCGATTGCCTTGTTTGAAGTCATTGTTTGATCATCGGAAAGTGCAGAAGAAGTGATTCGCTGGTCTGTAGGCTGCTCATGCCGCAGTTGTGTTAGTATTATTGCTGTCTCACACAACACACAAAAGTATTCAAATCAAAGAATGAAAGAAGCAGTTGCCCGCAGACAGACTTGGTCTTGAGTGTCCTCCGCTGGTGTCTTCTTCAGTTTGATTCTATGTACTGACATTATCATGCAACATAGACGCACAGAGGTGGTCCAGACATGTCCCGGATTCTTCGTAGTGAAGAATCAAAGGAAATAAGAGATGAAACAAGTAGTGAAACAAGTCTTTAACAATGAGATTGTTCTATTTGTTCATTTGTTTAAAAAAGACCTTCTTGGAGAGTGAAGCGGTGCTTTCGAGATTAGCATTGTGACGACATGCGACTAAGCAAGTGCGACTGGTAAGTCTGACGACTAGCCTTCACAAGTCACAGTCTTCATAGTTCAGCATTGTTGAAATGCATGGTTCGGTTGTTGTTACTTGCCTTGGCATGAGTTTTAGATCAGCCAATGCGTTGTGTTTACTCAAACCTTATGACTTCCTGCATCCTGTGTGGACAAACCGCTGTAAAGCTTTGCCTGAATCAGCGCGCTTGCCTTGGCCTTATGCGCGGAGGTGCATGCTGTTGGCTGCATTTGCATTCCCAGACTTTTTCTAACTTCATTTTCTTGAAAGCAGTGATGACGGAGTTCAAGCCAACATTTTCTCACTTTAGTCTAGATTTTAAATACATATGCAATTGTATATTTATAAATATATAAATAAAGCATCCACCACTTTTCGATCTAATGCTCATCCTTTGGCGACGCCTGCCCTTCATGCTGATTGAAAGATACTGCAATCTGTCGAAGAGACACTGGCATCAAAACATTCAAATCCGATGGGCTGTTGTGAAGTATGCTGAGAGTAGAAATTGTTTATCTCGAAACGGCTCAAATGGGAAGCGTAGAGTGTATTCCCTTTGTGGACGAGGTTTTCTCAAACCTCTCACCATGTCGACCGATGAGGATAGACAGATTGAGCAGTGGAAGGTGAAGCGTTTGGTGAAGATGCTCGATGCTGCTCGAGGGAACGGCACATCAGCCATCACTTTGATTCTCAATGCAAAGCAAGACATCAATTTGACCAATAAAATGCTCACGGAGGAGTATGGTACAGCTTCTTGCATCAAGTCCCGCGTGAACAGGTTGTCCGTTTTGTCAGCAATTACATCTACCCAGCAGCGCTTGAAGAAGTACAACCGAACCCCACCAAATGGCCTCATCATTTTCTGTGGTGAGGTTCTCACAGAGGCAAAGCCAGACGAACAAAAGAGAATGTAGTGTCTAAAATAAAACGTGATCGGTTTCTAGAACCGTTTGCAACTACTTCAATTCTCAGCATTCATTCAAACAAAAACGATGAATCCCCTTTTGGTTTCTCACGCTGAAAGGACAACAAGGAGAAGAAGTTGACCATTGATTTTGAGCCCTTCAAGCCAATCAATACCTCAATGTATTTGTGCGACAGCAAGTTTCACACAGAGCCACTAGCTGAGCTCATGGAAGATGATGACAAGTTCGGCTTTCTCATCATGGATGGAAATGGCTCGCTCTTCGGAACGGTGCAGGGCAATCACCGTGAAATCCTTCACAAGTTCACTGTTGACTTGCCTAAGAAGCATGGCCGTGGAGGACAGTCGGCTTTGCGTTTCGCACGCCTTCGACTGGAGAAGCGACACAATTATGTGCGCAAAGTTGGAGAGACAGCAACGCAGATGTTCATCCCAAATGGAGAGACTCCAAATATCAAAGGCCTAATCGTGGCAGGTTCTGCAGAGTTCAAGCAGGACTTGACAACCAACACGGACCTTTTTGATCAGAGACTCGCTGCCATCGTAATCCCTCCGTTGCTGGATATCAGCTATGGGGGTGAGGCTGGGTTTAATCAGGCCATTGAGTTGTCGGCCGAAACCTTGAAGAATGTGAAGTTCGTCCAGGAGAAAAAGCTGGTCACAAAGTTCTTGGATGAGGTTGCGACGGACTCGGGCAAGTACTGCTTTGGCATCCATGATACCATGCAGGGCCTCGAAGCAGGAGCTGTCGAGACTCTGATTATTTGGGAGCAGCTTGAGATCAAGCGCCTGGTGATCCGGAACCCCCATACTGACACAGAGGAGGTCAAGTTTGTAACCCCAGAGCAGGAGAAGGATCCAAAGCTCTATGTTGACAAAGAGACTAATGTGGAGCTCAATGTCACCGAGAACGAGGCCTTCTTGGACTGGATTGTAGAGAACTACAAGAACTTTGGCACGAAGCTAGAGTTTATCTCGGATCGATCACAGGAGGGCAATCAATTTGTGAAAGGATTTGGCGGCATTGGCGGGCTAATGAGATACCAACTTGAGTTTGACTTGTTGGAGGAGCCAGTCTTTGATGACGCCGACAGCGATGATGACTTCATGTAAGGCCTCCTGTAAGACCCTCAAGTCGCAATGGTCCAAGAGACCAAGAGTTTTACGTCGGCTGTGGGGTGGAGGGGCATGCAGCCAAAGACCTAGTGAGAGTCCTAGAAGCATGCTAGGCCATTCCTAGAAGCCTAGTGAGAGGCATTCTGACCTAGTTCATTCCTGAAGTCTCGCGGAAGGTGGGGGTTGATAACATATGCAGCATATTATACATGTACTTTCTTGTTCAGGTGCACCAGCATGCCAGAGATACTGCCTTTGCTTACTCCCCCACCTGGACAATCCGGCTGCTTGTACAGTGTACAGCTGTTGAGACTTCTGGTGTCTCACAGCCTGCTGATTCGATGGCAGCGTCGGAGCAGAGTGTAAGCCAGGCAAATCGCGAGTTGTGCAGTCCAAGCTCTTGCACCGTACAACATGCACACTTGGTTCAACTTGTTCCACTTGTTTCCTGCTTGAGTCATGTCAAGATCTCCAGGCAGCGTTTGCAAGGCTCGTAGTTATCCAGTTGCTCAAGAATGTTGTTGGAAAGGCCACAGAGTCAACATGTCATCACAAGGTTTGTTCATGGAAGCGACATCAAGCGACTGGGGTGAGACTTGGTTTGGCCACTCAGTTGTTGGACAAACCTCAGGTTCTAGATGCTTTGGGAACGGAGTGCTTTGGGCGCTTTGCTTTTAGAGGCCTTTAGGGTGTTCACTTTGTCTCTCCACGCTGTTGAGGGCCCTGAGAAGCTCGGGAGTGTGGGGCCGAAGAGGACGCTTTGGAGAAAAGGTGGACGCCGTCACTTGTTATTAGTAGCAAGAATGCTACTAGTAGCGATGCTAGGAGCCCTTAGTAGCGTCCTTGCTCCTAGTAGTAAGGCCAGGAGCCCCTAGTAACATCCTTGCTTCTGATAGTATTTCTTTCACTCCACGCAGCTTCACAATCCTCGTGACGCATCCCAACGGCTTAATATTTTTTGAGAATGCAAGCTGCAAAGCAACGGGATGGAAATCTAAGTGACGCAAACCGAACTTATCCCATTCTTTGTGCAAAAAGCATGGGCTCCGAGCTAAGAGTTGCAGTGGCAAGAGGTTGCTTGAAGAGTATTGCTTGCTGCTGTGGTGGCTCTGCGCAGTGTACCGCCTCTAGCTGTGCTAGCCTGGTTGAGTGTAGCAGATTGTTTGTAGCGGGGGTATGCTGTCATAAATGACTGACAGAGGCTAACAAGCAACAGCAAAGCAGATTTGTTCGCAGTCACCAACAGCTTCCACGCTAAGATGTCATGCTGGCTGGCGTGAGGCCAGGGCATAGCTTCTGCAGTGCGGTTTTGGTACAACACGTGCTGATTGTGTCTTTGAGAAGACGGCCATGGTCTCCTCAACATCCGGGCCCGTGGGCGGGCCCGTGGGCCCTGTTTACCTAATCTATCTAATCTTTACAATCCATCCAGTCTATCGCCTCTACCTGATCTATCTTTTCCTCATCTAGTCGATCGAATCCATCTATATATCTACTCGAGCTACTCGATCCACGAATCTTGTCCTTCCGTATCTGTTCTCATCTGATTTTATTTTTCTTTATGTGTCCAATCTTTCTCATCTTTCCAATGTACCTAGTCTAAATTCTACTAGTAACAAGTGCCTTACTAGTAGAAACAAGAAACTACTAGTAGCAAGTGCCACGCTAGTAGTAACAAGTGC